GAGAGAGAGAGAGAGAGAGAGAGAGAGAGAGTTGGATATCAGTACTACTGGTATGACGTAACAGCTGTTTTGCATGAGCTAATTAACCATCCACACGTACTTGTACATTCGTCCATATACGTTGGACTCTGGGGGATGAGGAATCCGAAAGCAATTTCCCATTCAATGCTTCGGCTGCTTGATTATACTATATTCATTGTGCACGTATTAACTCATGAATCTCTTAGTCATCCGATTGTCATAATGTTGGGGAGCACTTGGAGCTGAGTAGTTGGGGGAAGGGGTAATGGTACGCGTGGGCCCGGACGTGATGGAGAATGAGCTTTCAGGTGACACGTTGACAGTAGAATATTTTTGTGAATAAGTGAAGAAGAATTTTTTGTATTTTTGTATCGTACATGGCGGATATCTCGGACGAATGGGGAAAGTAAGGCGGTTTCCATGAGTAGGGGAGGGTCGGGTAAAACGGACACTTTTAACTTTTTTTGAAATATTTATGACGGGTTGAATTGTTCATGAAATGGAATAATTTTATTTCTCAATTGAAAAACAATAATTCCTCTTTGTGATGAGCTTGGACAGAGCTCAATTGATAAATCTGTTTCTGAGTTATGAATATTTTTTAAAAAGTCAAAAGTGTCCATTTTACTCTACCCTCCCCTACAATCGTCTCGCGTCGAATTTTCATGAAGCCCGCCTAACAAACAAAAGAGAATTGAATGCCATTCTATGGAACATGAATGAACGTATCGTAATTGTCCAAATCATTTAGGTCAGAGGAAACTAGAATAATTCTACTTTCTTAATATTGCGTTTACTAATGTTTTTTTCGAACAAAGTTGATTAGAATTAATAGCTAGAATTATGAGATTATCTCACATTTTCGACGTTGAGGATAGGAGAATCTGAATGCAATATAGGGAAAATGATGATCGATTTTTTCACTTTGAACAAATAATATTAATATCCAAATACAAAATTTCTGATGTGAATAAAAAGAAGCTGTGACTCAATATTCCATATAAAGTTTTAATTTTTAATTTGGTGCTGATAACACGAGATGACAATATTCTAAGCACGGAATTATATTGATGAGATGAACAGCAGATTAATTGAATTACTGTGTGAACTAACTAAAAATTGATAACAGTGTGGGCACGCACTTTTACCAGACTACACGGAGAGAAATTTTTGATAAAAATTATCCTACCGTTCTATAAAAGTGTATCATGAGTCATCGTTTCCTCATTTCTATCCCGAATTTGAGTAAAAATTAATATATGATGATCAAATTTTATTCTAGGTTAGAGAAATTTTATCCTGAGGCATGATAAATTTTACCCTTCCAGTCCAATAATTTTTATGTAGATAACAACGAAAATTCTTGAACGGTTGGTAAATTTTACCCTACCGGTANCCTCCCCTACAATCGTCTCGCGTCGAATTTTCATGAAGCCCGCCTAACAAACAAAAGAGAATTGAATGCCATTCTATGGAACATGAATGAACGTATCGTAATTGTCCAAATCATTTAGGTCAGAGGAAACTAGAATAATTCTACTTTCTTAATATTGCGTTTACTAATGTTTTTTTCGAACAAAGTTGATTAGAATTAATAGCTAGAATTATGAGATTATCTCACATTTTCGACGTTGAGGATAGGAGAATCTGAATGCAATATAGGGAAAATGATGATCGATTTTTTCACTTTGAACAAATAATATTAATATCCAAATACAAAATTTCTGATGTGAATAAAAAGAAGCTGTGACTCAATATTCCATATAAAGTTTTAATTTTTAATTTGGTGCTGATAACACGAGATGACAATATTCTAAGCACGGAATTATATTGATGAGATGAACAGCAGATTAATTGAATTACTGTGTGAACTAACTAAAAATTGATAACAGTGTGGGCACGCACTTTTACCAGACTACACGGAGAGAAATTTTTGGTAAAAATTATCCTACCGTTCTATAAAAGTGTATCATGAGTCATCGTTTCCTCATTTCTATCCCGAATTTGAGTAAAAATTAATATATGATGATCAAATTTTATTCTACGTTAGAGAAATTTTATCCTGACGCATGATAAATTTTACCCTTCCAGTCCAATAATTTTTATGTAGATAACAACGAAAATTCTTGAACGGTTGGTAAATTTTACCCTACCGGTACAGTAATTTTTACTCTACCGGCACGGTAATTTTTATTTGTATCAGGATTAAATTTCTCTAACGTAGAATAAAATTTGATCATCATATATTAATTTTTACTAAATTTCGGGATAGAAATGAGGAAACGATGACTCATGATACACTTTACAGAACGGTTGGATAATTTTTATCAAAAATTTCTCTCCGTGTATCAGCAAACATTGAATTCCAGAAATTCACACTCTAAAGTGTGTTCTAGAAGGAATGGAATTGTAATTATGATTAAAATCTTATTCAGTGAGCGTAGGAATTAGAACATGAGCAAATCATTTATTGTAATATGAAAATTTAACAGCTGATAAATTGGGACATGGGATTCTCGTCGGTCGTATTGCTTTTCGCAATGAGATTATAAGAAATGATTGTAAGAAATTGATTAAAAAAATAAATATTGAATCACAGGAGAAAGGCCACAACGATAGGGCCTCTCACCCCGGCCAATAATAATTCAATAATTGAATACTCTTTCCAATTTTTTCACCTTTCAATTATTGCCTGCATCAATGTAGTCATAAAACCGCAGTTATCAAACTGTGATACACAGGCGATATACTCTCTATTGTGGTCAATCAACAAAAGAATGAAATGCCGTTTTCTTCCTCGTTTTGTTCCCTATCAGTGAGCGAAAAAAAAAAATGTGTTTGATGGCAAATTGGGCGAGCGAGTGGGTGAATGTCAACAGTGGGCTTCTATCTCACGTATTCGGGAGAGAGATGACAGGCACTCGACGTGAGTGTATCAATATGTGCATATCAGTCCGTTAACCATACACGTGGACACCATTGGTGAAAATTCCGAGGATAATTGGGGTGTGTACGGGGATCGATTGTCCGGTGCAATCAATGAAGGTAGCGGGTGGAATCATGTGGTCTCATTCAGCGATGATCAGATGATTCGGTGCGTGGCCCCGTGGGCTTGCAGATGTCTGTTATTATGTATAATTCGCTTTTTTATTTACACTGTTAGAAATTTATTGAAATTTCATGAACGATATTATAGTAAATCTCATGAGAGTGACATTGAATCGAATTTAGGGAAAAAATGGTTATGGAATTTCAAGTTTTTTTGATTGCCAGATCATTTGAACCGAAAATCAATGGAACATTTGATTTTTCGATGACAAGATTTCCTGAAATTTCAGTGGAACTCGAACGCGATAAAAATTTCCGGAATTTAAAATTCACAAATTTAAAATTCACAAATTACAGTGTAATTTGTGAAATTAAATAATTTAAACTTCACGCAACTCATTGACCAAGCAGACTTAAGAATTAGAGGTTAAACATCTTCACGTAACTTTTATCGTCTATAGGTAAAATTCCCTGCGATCACCTTCTGGGCAGTAAAATTAGCCAAAATTTTCTGGATAATCATTTCTCGAATTCTCTCTCCGTGCAGAGACTGGTCGGAAATGGAACATGTCCACCGGCTTTTCACCTGGATTTCCATTAAGATAAATGGAAAATATTACATCCTCTTTAAAATTTCTCGGTGAAACTCGAGGAATGAAAAATTCACGGTATATATAACTACGCTGGCGTGAAAATTACGAGGGGAACAATGAACTCCCGAGGCGCAACGCGAGACTGAAGAAGTGTACATTTTTCTGGATAGTGAATTTTCAGGCTTGTGTTGATGTGCCGGGGTCGATCTTCCCCGACTAATTCATTAGTAGACCGCGTGCCTTCATTTTGCCTCATTAATTTGTGGAGAGGTATCCTTTTTTCGGTCGGGTCGTGAGAAATCCACCGACATATCCTCTTTTTCTACAGAAAGGGAGGAA